TTTTTCTACTTGCATTTTTACATGCTTTCAAACTACTAGGTTGGCAGAAGCTGGGACAAGTAAAGGGAGCTCACTCTGTTACTCAGCACTATGGAGTCAAACCGCTGAACTGCCAACTTTTCTGATCGACAAGCTCAGTGTCTTAGCCACTGAGCCACTATGTCCCTTATAAGAAAGACCTAAGAAGGAGTAAAAAAAAAAATTAGGGTATATGAAAGCACAAACATTTTTAACAGCTTCTATTCCGACAGACTATTTGTCTGTGAACTTTTAGTGCTTAGTTTTCATGTCACATATTTGAGCAATTATAATACAGCACTGAGTGGAAGAAAAAAAGTTCTTAAGATTGCAAGTAGTCCTCGACTTACAACAGTTCCTTTAGTGACTGTTCAAAGTTACAATAGCACTGAAAAAAGTGACTTATGACCGATTTTGACACTGATGTCCATTGCAGCATCCCCATAGTCACGTGATCCAAATTCAGCAACTGAGTTCACATTTATGACGGTTGCAGTATCCCAGGGTCATGTGATCACTTTTTTCACTCTTGACAAGCAAAATCAATGGGGAAACCAGACTCATTTAACAACTGTCTTACTTATTAACAAGTTCACTTAACAACTGTGACAAGAAAGGTCATAACATAAAGCAAAACTCACTTAACAAATGTCTCACTTTGCAACATAAATTTTGGGGTCAATTCTGGTCGTAAGTCAAGGACTACCTATACTGAGAATACAAAAGTCTGGAGACTATTGTGAGGGCTGAGATTCATCACAGCTGCCTTCTTAATAAACCACTATTGCATTGGTCTTCAGATGGTTATCTCTGACCGCTTAAGCATTTCTGAGAAACTTTTCACAAGTTTTTCCACTGTGAAAGTTAGAAACCACAAAAAGAAGTGGCAGTTTCCTCATCACTATTAGGTAAAGCTCATTGCCGGACCTCAGCAATTAAAGTCACACATGTTTCTTATAGAAGAAGGAAGACTGAGTTTAGTATTAATGGGACCTCTTCTGTATTTGTCAGCTGTGCTCCTGTTGTTGTTTGGTGAGTTTCATATAGTGTGGTTTATTTTTATAGAAGTCTAAATTCAGGTTTGTTATTTCTTGCCAATGTAATTATATTCCAGTATTAGCCAACTGGATATCTTTGGATGATACCAAACCTCCAGTGTCTGATATTCAGGGAATGATATTCAGGGAATATCACATCTATCCACAAAAGTTCCATTTAATGTTCCTAAGAATTGATTATGTACTTACTTATAGGGGTCTTTTTCTATTTAGGACCAGTTGTACAGCATTTGAAGAGCTATTTTTAATTATTTCACAATTTTAGGAAAGCTGCAGATGCCACTATTCCTTATCTCTACATCCCATTTGTAGTGGCTTATGTGTGTATGCTATCAGTATGCTATGAGTTCATGCTGTAAAGATTTAATGAATTCTATTCTTTGCTGATTATTGCTCTTGTGTTATCTTCTCTTAAATTAATACTAACCAAACAAGGGTTTGAAGATGCTGATCTTCATGATTGGATTAAGGGCATAATACATGAAGGTAGGATCAAACTGTTTTTTTATTAAAGATATGAGGGATGTTGTTTGACTTTAGGACTTATACTACAGTTTGTCATGTTTTCCTCATAAATATAAGCAGAAAACAAATGTATACTAAGTGGCGTGATCAGAATAAATTGTTGAAATGGAACAAACTAGTTGAAAGCCTACAGATGCTCATATCATTTATAACACAGGTCTGGGACTAAAAAGCTGTTTGATTATTTTCATCTAATTTCCATGTATTTTGGTGTGCTGAAAACAAATNGAAGGGAAGGGGAAAGGCAGGGAGGGCAGCCTTGTTTGAGAAGAGCGGGGCAGCCTGCCAGCAGAGGCAGGTCTTTTACCCACCTCTGCTGGTGGGCTGGCTCCTTCTTTCTTTTGCCTGCTGTGCCCCCCTTCCCTTTCTCCTCTCCCCCCCACTGGGAGTCCCATCCTGCTCCCCTCTCCCTTTCTTCCTTTTCCTCTTCCTTTTCTTCACTGGCTGCTGCCTTGCCCCCCGCCTCCTCCGTCCCCGCCGCTGTGTCCGATAGAGGTGTCTCTGCTTCTCGCCGCCGCCACGCTCTTGCCTCACCAACCATAAACCTCACCGCATGTCACTGGTTTTGATTCTGTGTAAGTAGAGAAGTACAATGGAATAGTCTATGCTATAAAAATGTTCTAGAATCCTGACTAAGTCAAGATTAAAACTGGTTATGTGTTGATTATACTTTTAATTTTCCTGGACTTATTGATCCTAAGAAATAACAGGTTTTTTTCCAACTGAGATCTGGGGTTCGAACTGGAGGTTATTTTTCATTACTAATTTGATACTGAGATGAGGTATGATAGCTTTTTCAGTCTGAGAAGTAGAGGTGGTCCTCATTTAACAATCATTTTTTCAGTACTATTCAAACGTATGATGAGAGTCCAGCAATTCGAATCCTAGCAGTGTGAGCACGGTGATTTCCCATCACTTTACCTCAACTTCTGCCCACCTAGCAGTTCAAACGTGTGTAATATGTGAGTAGATAAGCAAAGTCAAAGGGGAAGCCTGATTTACTTAACAACCATGCCCTTAACAATCGCAGTGATTCATTTAACAACTGTGGAAAGAAAGGTTGTAAAATGAGACAAAAATCATTCAACAAATGTTTATCTTAGCAACAGAAATTTTTGGTTCAATTGTGGTTGTAGGTTGAGGACTACCTGTAGGCAGCTAACCAGCCTTTGTGTAATATAGAATACCTTTGTCTTGATCCAGTAGTCCTTTTCCCATGCTCTTAAATAATACATTATATAATATCGACACGGACTCCCTGCAGATTTTCAGGGTTTTAACTAAATTTCTTCCCCAACATTTAACATTTAAAGTGTTCCAATACTTGAGGGACTGCCACAGAGAGGAAGGTGGGGTAAAGCTATTTTACAAAGCAACTGAAGGCCAGACAAGGAATAATGGATTGAAACTGACCAAGGAGAGATTCAACCTAGAAATAAGGAGGAACTTTCTGACAGTGAGAACGACCAACCAATGGAACAGCTTGTCTTCGGAAGTTGTGGGAATTTAATCACTTAAGACTTTCAAGAAGAGATTGGACTGCCATTTGTCAGAAATGATGTAGGGTATCCTGCTTGAACGGTGGATTAGACTAGATGATCTACAAGGTCCCTTCTAACTCTGTTAAGCTGTTACTTCTGGGTAATCAGACTGCAAAGGGTTTTTGAAATACCAATTGATACATCAACCTTTTTCTATAGTGTCATGAAGTTAATATACATGAATCAATTCCACTTATTTTAAATAAACATTTTTTTTGATAATCCCAAATGAATTGCTTTGCATTCTATTATTGGAAAAATATGAGAAATTCTCTCCATGGAAGAGAAATTCTTTTCAAGGAGAAAAAAAAATCTCTGTTGCATCATCATTATCATAACTGTGAAGGAAAGGCAGACCATCTCTTCCATGGACCAAGGAATAAGGATTGAAGATACCAAGAAATAACTAAAAAGGTAAAGGTTCCCCTCAGATATATGTGCTAGTTGTTCCTGACTCTAGGGGATGGTGCTCATCTCCGTTTCAAAGCCAAAGAGTCAATGTTGTCTGAAGTCATCTCCCTGGTCATGTGGCCAGCATGACTAAACACCAAAGATGCATGGAAACCTATTACCTTCCCACCAAAAATGGTCCCTATTTTTCTACTTGCATTTTTACATGCTTTCAAACTACTAGGTTGGCAGAAGCTGGGACAAGTAAAGGGAGCTCACTCTGTTACTCAGCACTATGGAGTCAAACCGCTGAACTGCCAACTTTTCTGATCGACAAGCTCAGTGTCTTAGCCACTGAGCCACTATGTCCCTTATAAGAAAGACCTAAGAAGGAGTAAAAAAAAAAATTAGGGTATATGAAAGCACAAACATTTTTAACAGCTTCTATTCCGACAGACTATTTGTCT